GTTTGTTGGTTTGCTTTTCTTTTGTACGTACTCTGTCTGACTGTCTGCCTCCCTCATTGAATGTCTGTGTCTCTGTCTCGCTCTGTCTGTCTGTCTGTCTGTCTGTCTGTCTGTCTGTCTGTCTGTCTCTCTCTCTCCCTCTCTCTCTCTCTCTCTCTTCGCCTCAACATAATCCCGAAATCATTGATATAAATCATTTTTCTTCTCGACAGCTGAAAAATACCCCGTCAGCCCTGTCGTGGGTCTTATTTAATCTTGCTCGAGAAAAGTACATCTTTTCTTGCACGCTTTTAACTCATTCTTTTGTTCCTTTGATTATTTTTCCTTTCTCTCGCGCTCTCTCTCTCTCTCTCTTTCTTTTTATGTTTCCCTTGTTTGCTCTTATCGTCTCCCCTTGTTCCTATTCTTACCTTCTTCCCCACTTTCTATTCCTGTTTACAATCCTCTCCCCTCTTAAGGGTGCTCGATCCTTCTCTCTTCCTCCCTTTCGCTCTCTCCTTTCGTCGGCGTCTTTTTATTCTCTGCTCTTTCTCTCTCCTTTCTCTTTCTTCTTTCTGTTCTGTCTCCTCCTTTTTTTTCTTTCTTTCTTTTTACTGCGATTATTAATATTACATTTTCTCGTCTTTCTTATTTTTGTCTTGCTCTTTTAATATATAATCGTTTGATCTCTCTCTTTCCCTCTCTCTCTAGTTTTCTCTCTTTCTCTTACTCACTCTACTTCTCCCTCTCTCTCTCCCTCCCCTTTCTCTCTGTTTCCTCTCTCTCTCTCTTTCTCTCTGCTTATCCTCCCTCCCTCCCTCCTTCTTTTCCTCGCCCCTCTCCCTCTTTCCGACCTATCACTTCCTCCTCCTTCTCCCGCTCTTCCCCCCCCCCCCCCGCCCCCCACCCTAGAAGCACCCTTGACCCGAGAGTCTCCTGAAACGTTCACTTATTGAGGATGGTGACCTCGGCCGGGGGTCAAGGGGGGGGGCTGGGGGAGGGGGAGGGGGAGGAGGGGGAGGAGGGGGAGAAGGGGGGTGTATCTCGAAGCTCTCCTTTATTCTTGGCGAAAGGAGGGGAAGCTTTTTGTTTTATTCTTTAGTCTAGTCTCCTTCTTGTTATGTTTGATTTTTATAGTTAATCTTCAGTGCATGCATATATATATATATATATATATATATATATATATATATATATATATATATATATATATATATATATATATATATATATATATATATATATATATATATATATATATATACTGTGTGTGTGTGTGTGTGTGTGTGTGTTTGTGTTTGTGTGTGTGTGTGTGTGTGTGTGTATGAGTATATGCACATATAAACATACACGGTAGGAGAGTGCGATTCCGACCGAGCGAGACCCACACCCGCACCGCCAAGCCCTGAACACCCGGGCGCAGTTCGGGCTGAGGCGCCCCCCCCCCCCACAGCCCCAGCGCCGCCCTCATTAGGCGCGAGAGATCCGCCAAGCCCGAGATCCAAGCCCGGGTTACGCCGTGCAGGGGGGGGGGGGGGGTTACTCCGGCTGTCACTCCAAAGCCTGTCTGTTACACGTCCGGGAGGTGGGGGGGGGATGGGGGGGGGGTGGGTGGGGGGGGTTGTTGTTGCCTTGTTTTTGGTGTTTTTTATGTTTTTTATGGTTATTTTGACTGTTATTATCTGTGCTTGTGGTCATGCGCTTCTTCATTAATTTTGTTATAGTTATTATCAGATCATTTTTATTTGTAATAGTTTTATCGCTACTGTCAATTGTAGCTGTAGTATTTTGCGTCATCATAATTATCATCACCCTCATCATCATCTTCACCATCGTCATCACTATCACCAGTTTCACCTTCATTATATCACTTCATCCTTATCACTCATTTTTATTTTTATAACTATCACCTCATAAAAGTAATTTATGCTTATTATTCGGGGCAAGAGAAAGGAGCAGAGCAGGAGCACGTGTTGCAGACGCCCGCGGAGCAACACTCGCGTTCCGGGCCGACCTCGAGCAACAGGGGCCTCGTTGCGAAGTATATCTCAACAGTAATCTTAGAAATTATACTTTTTGAGGGGGAGGGAGTGAAACTTTTCACGCTATGAGTTCTTTTTTTTTTCTCTAACTCCCCCCCAGTCCTATCACTTTCCCCCTCCGTGCCCTCTTCCCCCTCCCCCTCCCCCTCCCCCCCTCCCTCCCCACCGCTCAATTACTAAATAAACGTCCGATTCCCGCCGTTGGCTTGGGCTTCGGCGAGGGAGGGAGGGGAAGGCGAGAGGAAGAATGAGCTCCCGAGTTTTCGCCTGCTCGCGTCGAAGGTTTCGGACGTCGGATGCAGAAGACAGAATCGATGTTGGCATTGTCTTAGTGCCAACGCCGGAGGAATGTCTGATGAGAACCCTCCCCTCCCTCCCGTCTCTCTCCCCTCCCCTCCCTCCCCTCAGCTGGTCCTCTCTCCTCTCCCCTTCCCTCTCTCCCCTCGTGGGTCTTTCGAATCCCGTGTGGGAGAAATTGTACTCGGAATGGCCTATTTTCTGGGTTTATGGCATAGGTTCGGATCGGGGGCTTTGAAAGTAAAGGCCGCGCGTGTGTTTTCACGGCGTTGAGTTTAAGGAGCCCGTTTTCCCTTTCTCTCTCTCCCGCGCTTTGTCTGACTGACATCCCGCGTCTTTTTTATTAATCCAATTCTCTAATATCTATTATCCTATCGCGCGATCGCCGAGGATTTATCGATAGACTTTGGGGGGTTTAAACGGGCGGTATAATAGATAAAACGACAATAATATGCCTGAAGAATAGATGTAATAAAAAAAGGAAGAAAGAGGGAGATTGTGGAAGCATCAGCAGCGCCTCTAGCGGGAATAAGGAGAATCCTCCAAGGAATAGTTTCGCCGTAAAGCTCCTTGGGATCGTGACACTCCCGGCAAGGGTGTTGGATCCCTTTTTATCTCATTCATCCGTCTGTCTTTCTCCTCCGCTCTCTTAGGGTTTGGAGCTTCGCTTCTTCCTTTCCTATTATTTTCGTTATTTTGTGTTTGAGGTTCAATGACGCTCGGATTAGAGAGTTTTTTTTTGTAACTTTTATGGTGGTCGTTTCAAGGGTAAAGAATAGTGTTTGATTCCATATTGGATTTCGTACTTTGTCTGTTGGTGAATCGAGAGACTGCATTCTTCTCTATCGTATTTTTAGTCTTTTGCATTGCTATCACTTATTTTTTGCAGTTTTTCTTTATTTATCTGTTTGTTTTGTCGCTGAGTAATGCGACCCATTTTTGCAAGAGTCGTTTTTATCGTCTATTTATAGAGTGGGACGGATTTTTATTGCAGGATTGCTATAAAGTTACTTCGCAGTTGCAACAATTTTATGAGGAAATATTTTTGCGCTTTGATAACATACACATTCACACCCACGAGCACAAACACGCACAAACGGCCATGAATATGCACGTACACAAACATGCATTAAGAAGGAACTGCACATGCAAACACATACACATAAGGAAACACAAAGAAACCGATAAGTTAGGAGTATTTTTCCGTGTTCTTTTATTATATATTGTCATTTATTTGTGTCTGTGTGTATGCAAGTATGCAAGCGTACGTGATGTGCATGTGTGAGTCTATTCTTAACGATGTGACGTGTTTCATTAAAATTTCACTAACGCAATAATAGCAGACACTAAAACAGACAAATGTGTAATTACGAGAACCTCCAAGACAGTAACACCGTAAAGGATAAGCGTGGTCTAAAACGGACATTTTGCGACGATAACGTAACTTTATCGTTATCACCGCATTGAGACAGACCGAGATAACGATCCACCGGCTCTTTCTCTGCGTGTCTTTGTCTGTGATTGACGATAAAGAAAAGAATTAAAGAGAGAAAAAGTAAGGACGTAAAAAGAGAATTATTGTCGATTAAGCAACTCATTTAGGTCGCTTATACGACTTTGCTGATCTAGAACGTATTCAAGAAAATGACAATAGAATTATGAATGGATACAGAAAATGGTCTACGCAAGCGAGAAACGGTATGCATACATGAATAAATTTTTATTAAGGTTGGGATTTAGTTCCGCTGTTCGCTTTCTAAGTGGAATTAAGTATTAATGATTATGCGTCTTTCATAAATTATATTTAGCCAAGAAGTAGATGATAACTTTGATTACAGTTGCCAGAATTATATTTTCACTATGTTTTCTTAAATGGAAGCTGATGGAGTCTTAATAATTCTTCTTTTTCTTCCTATTCTTTCTCCTTCTATCTCCATTACCTAGTTTATTGCTACCTCCTTTCTTCTCTGGCACTTTCTCTTCTTCTTGTATTATTACTATTGCTATTATTATTATTATTATTATTATCATGATCATTATCATCATCCTCATCATTATTATTACCATCAAAATCATCTTCATTTTCTCTTATTACCACTAAGCAGATTGTTCATTTTTCCTATTATCATTCTTATTCTCCCTCGCCTCATCTGTTTGTGATCCTCCTCTCTCCTCCTCCATCTTTTTCTCTTTTTCTTTCTTTCTCTTTCTCCTCCATTCCCTCTTCTTCCCCCACAATACCCCCCTCCTACTTAGCCTCCTCTGGTCGAACTTGTGTTACACTCCAACTTCAAGTCCCACTTCAGTACAGTACAGAGAGAGAGAGAGAGAGAGAGAGAGAGAGAGAGAGAGAGAGAGAGAGAGAGAGAGAGAGAGAGAGAGAGAGAGAGAGAGAGAGAGAGAGAGAGAGAGAGAGAGAGAGAGAGAGGGGGGGGGGATTGCGTTCAGCGCCCCTGTTTTTTCCGAAACCTGTCTATTATCTCCTCAACTTTTCTTTTTTTATTAATATTTTTAGCATTCTGTATTGTTTTTTGTTTCTATTTTATTATCACCCACTACTATTAACATTATAATTATTACTTTTATCATTATTATTCCCGTGCCGTCCAGCGCCACCAACTAAATCCCGCGTTTCTCTCCCTCCCACAGGGTATGGAGACGGACGAGGCTACAGCCCCCCTGGGCCCGTCGCCCTCCCTCTGACGCCCTCGCCCGACGCCCATGGCCGGGCCCTCACGCCCACGGAGAGCCTGGGCGGGCTGTCTCCGGGCGGCCTGGTGTCGCTGGCGCCGCTGTGCCCGCAGTACGACGTGCGCCCCGACCCGCCGAGGAGCCCATCAACCTGACCACGCGGCCGCCCGCGCTCTACGACCGCCCGCCCGAGGACCTCAGCACCGCCCACGCCATCCTCGACCTGTCCACCGCCCGCGTGGCCGAGTACTCGCCCCCGCACACGCCGCCCTCTCCGCACGCGCCGCACGCGGCCCTCGAGTACCACCACGCTCTCCCGCACCCGCACCCCCTCCCCCACGCGCCCCCGCACTCCCCGCACTCGCCTCCGCCCGCGCCGCCGCCCGCCTACCACCTGCACGGCGGCAGCCCCGCCGACAGCAGCGGCGCTGTCGGCGCGGCGGCGTCGGCGGCGAGGCGCCGCGGCGGCCCGAGCAGCGCGACGAGGGCGCCGACGGCAAGAAGCCGTGCACGGTGGCCTACACGTACGAGGCGTTCTTCGTGAGCGACGGGCGCAGCAAGCGGCGCGGCGTCGACCCCGGCGAGAAGCAGCGCTACACGTGCTCGGAGTGCGGCAAGCACTACGCGACGTCGTCGAACCTGTCGCGCCACAAGCAGACGCACCGCGACCTGGACTCCGGCAACGCGCGCCGCTGCCACGTGTGCGGCAAGGCCTACGTCAGCATGCCGGCGCTCGCCATGCACGTGCTGACGCATAACCTGACGCACCGCTGCGGCGTGTGCGGCAAGGCCTTCTCGCGCCCCTGGCTCCTGCAGGGCCACATGCGCTCGCACACGGGCGAGAAGCCCTTCGGCTGCGCGCACTGCGGCAAGTCCTTCGCCGACCGATCCAACCTGCGCGCGCACATGCAGACGCACTCCCAGCTCAAGAACTTCCGGTGCAAGCGCTGCAACAAGTCCTTCGCCCTCAAGTCGTACCTCAACAAGCACTACGAGTCCGCGTGCTTCAAGGACATGCCTCTCCCGCCCTCCACGCCAGAGCCGCCTTAGCTTCTCTCCGCGCAGCCTCCGCTCCATCCCGCTCACCGCCTGAACCGTACAAACCCACCGTCCCGACCCAAGAGAACCGAGAAGNTGTGTGTGTGTGTGTGTGTGTGTGTGTTGTGTCTGTGTGTAATACATACATACATACATACATACATACACATCACACACACACAACACACACACACACACACACACACACACACACACACACACACACACACACACACACACACACACATATATATATATATATATATAATATATTAATATATATATATATATAATATATATGTGTGTGTGTGTGTGTGTGTGTGTGTGTGTGTGTGTGTGTGTGTGTGGTGTGTGGTGTGTGTATATATATATAATAAATATATATATAATTATAATATATATATATATATATATATATAGTATTATGTATATATATATCATATATATAATATATATAATAATATATATATAATATATGTATGTATATAATATTATGGTGTGTGTGGTGTCTTATTTTTTTCTCTCTCGAATCACCGTTTGTATATTAATAAATCAGTTGTCTCGTCAATGTTCCTGAGGGCTTATAGGATCTGTGAAAATGGATTCATCGACCGTGAGCTCGAGGTTATTTTTGAAACACTTTCGGAATTAGGATATCCCCAGTTTCTCTTAAATCAGGCACATTCATCTGCGAAATGCAAATTTTATCACCATTCCCCGTATCACACAACAAGTGTCAATAATCTCTTAATTATTCCGTACAAATCCGTCCCTCGATGAAAACCGCCGTATGTTTAAAGGAGTTGGCATTAACATTGTTTTTTACTTATCCGAACACGTCACGTAATACTTTTGGTTAAGCACAATGCAGCTAGCGGTGCTCCTGATACCTCTCCAGGTATTTACACGATTCCTTGTAAGGGCTGCCCGAAATTTTACATTGGCGAAACCGGAAGAGCTTTTGAAAAAAATAAAAAAATATATGAGCATAGACGTGATGTCAGATACGACAGAGAATCTAATGCGCGTTTCATTTACTTACGTGACGCAGGAAAGACGCCTAATTAATTCATGAATTGTCAAATTCTTATGAGAGGAAGAATGCTTGAAGCGCTGTTAATTAGAAAATTGCCTAACTTTAACTCGAGTGCTGGCCAATGGTTGTTGGATGATCTTACCTCATCGTAAGTTGGTAAAGCCTTCTCCAGATTCTTCGCCCTTGGCCTCCTCCTGAGACCTGATTTAGAACTTGTTCATTCTGTCTCTCTACCACTACATAATCTCGTAAAAATTCTCTACCTGTATCCATTTCGGTTTTTCATTCGTCTGAAGAGGAACTCGCGAAGAGTTGGAAGCGTTAAGTTTATTTTCATATCATTCTGCGCCTTCTTCCGTTACACCCATCACCCGCATGTCTTTCTTCAAAACATCCATACACTTCTCTTTAGTCTTACCCTCTTCCTCCTGCCTGGTGGGGTCCTTCGCCATCATCATCATCCCCATATACTCCTCACCTCTCCTACACACAATGCCAAACCTCTCTAGCTTTACTCCCAAATGACGTACGTGTGTTTTCCCTCTCATATGTTCATTTCTAAATTTGTCTAGCTTCGTCACTCAAAAGAAAACGCATCTTCAATTCTGGTACGTCCAACTCTGCCTCCTGTCTTTTCCTCAATGACAGTCTCCATACAACATGGCTGGCCTACTACCGTCTTATAGACTCCCCCCTTCTTTCTTGCAGAGGCCCTTCTGTCACAGATCACCCCTGTCACCCTTCTCCACGCACTACATCCAGCCTGCACTATCTTCTTTACTTCTATTCCTCCATTCCTTTGTACGGTTGACTCAAAGTACTTGAATTCAGTGACTTTCGCCACTTCTGCACCTTGTAGCCTCGCTGTTTTCCCCTCTTTTCTCCCATTTTCACACGTATTATCCGTCTTGCTTCTGCTTACTTTCATTTCCTTTCTCTCCAGTGTATATCTCCCTCCATCCAACTACTCCTCTGCTTCCTCATACATTGCTACAACTCCTCTCTCGGCACCCAGCCATAAGCCTTCTCTAACGGCCGGTTGTTAAAATTGTGGCAGGCCCGACCTAATAGACATTCATTACACAGACATGCACATACACAGAGATAAATGCATTTCTATCAGTCTAGACATGAATATCTACCGTGCAGATAGAAAAATAAATGTATATTTGTTTGATTGATCGATTTATATGCATTTATTTCTGTGTATATGGATGTCTGTTATACGAATATTCATTGGATCGGGCCTGCGCAATTTTAACAAAGCGACCGTCTACAAGCACGCATTGCAACTTCTTTTGACCTTCTCTGTACTTCTCCATCTTTTTAATATATTCTTCTCACTTGTCAGCATAATTTATCCTATATAATGTTATATAATAATATATATATATAATAATATATATATATATATTATATATACTTATTAATATATATATATATATATAAATACATAACAATATATGTAATATATTATAATAACATATATATAATATATCAAAACTAATATATAAATATATATATATAAATATATATAATATATTAATAAATAATATAATTATAATATATATATAATATAATAATTAACATTTGTTTATATCTAGAATTATACATGATGTGTGTGTTTGTGTGATGTGTGTAGAATTATTAAATATATATATATTAATATATAATTATATATAAAATATCAATACATATATAAAATAATACATATATATATATTATTAAATATATATATATACAAAGTAATATATATATAAATAATATATATATATATGTATATTGTAATAAATTGACGGTAGGTTGGATGTATTGTGTGCATTATATATTGTTATATTTAGTATATGTACGACTTATAGTACACGTCTATCTTCATGTACTTGTGGTTAAGGTGTATGGCTAATTGTTTGAGTAATAAGCCCTAATCACTGCAATCTTAAAGAATGAAGTTACCATTTCAGTTGTCAAATAGTGGTAGTTGTAATCTAGTATGTATGTATGCCACACTTGCTATCGCATAGAGATCGATACTCGTATGTTTATATAGTAATTGAACGTGACATATGTAAAGTATGCAAGGGTTTTATTTACTCAAGATATTTGAAAGATCCACTGAGGTGGATAAATGCATTTCAAATATATGTCAGTTAACTGGTGTTATTACATCTTATAATTATATCACACACACACAGGCAATCACTCTGAACACTAAACACACAATTCTACATTTACATGAAAAAGATCTAAACTGACATATAAAAGATTAAATGAATTTATTCCTTTAAAATAAACATGTTGATCACTGTGTTACAGTCCCTTAAACTTAAAGCAATTAGCTGGTCACAATACCATCAGCCAAAATCAACTAAGGCAAATTAGCTATGCATTTATATCCTCATTAAGACAAAAATATCCTTGAAATTTATTTGAACTCATAAAAACAATAGTCCCTATTCACCCAAAGTATACCCCATTGGTAAATACTAACTATCTGATTTTAAATTGTTATATTTCATGAAGTTATGCAATCTATGCAGCCTTTATTTATGAGTTAGTTTTAGGTTCAATCATAAACAATACAAGTTATCATAAAGGCTTGTATGCTAAGGAGCTCAAATTACAAGGGAAGCTTATACTACAAATAGATTGAGACTCAGAAATATATTGCACTTATCAATAGAACATAGGAGACGTACATAATCACCAAATCTGAGCCTGGACTATAGAACATTTACCTAGCTTAGAGCTCTATATGGTTCAATACTACTGTAATCGCAAAGTCAAGGCAAGAACTCATGGTAAGACTAGTATATATAATATGGCAGTATCGGTATCACTGGAAAGTTCTCCCCACTATTAATTAAAAGCAGAGCACAGAACATCAAGATCGGTAATTCCCTTTCAACCACGCAGAATGACAACCTAGTCCTCACAACCAATATACAAATATTCAATATATTGTATTCTGACAGCTTGATAATCATACTAAAAATGATGATTCTGAAGATTGTTTAAGTGTTTCATATACTGTTGTAATATATAGATTATATATGACTTAGTAATGTTACAACTGTTTCGAACAGGTACCTTTTTAAAGCTAGGTAATTAGAATTATTAAATGTTATATGTATTATTTAATTTTTGATATGACTAATAAAATATTTGAGTCTGCTAGTATTTTGCTAGACGGATATCCTCCTCAGAGAGATAGTGAAAAAGTAACTTACCCTTAGGATGCATATAACATACTAGAGATGTTACGAAGCAATAACTATATGGGAGAATAATCATTTAATACACTAAAGTGGCACACAGAGTATCCGCACCGGAGTACTACTGAAACGCGGCGAGACCGCTGAGGTACAGAGGGTCGAGAGAGCAACGGGCGTCGAAAGTAGCGGACTGAGTTACACCTTGCTTCTTGACAAGTAGCTTAACCCCTTTCCTTCGAGCTAACAACACCATGCAAATGAGATGAACGGACTATGCGTTAAGTATCATCATATTAGCCGAGTTAGTATTGAAATCATTCACAGATTACTAGTTATTCAAAGTGTTTGACGCACGAGGTATCAAAGACGTGTTCGCGGGTGTCGCTATGTGCTGTGGTGTTGAGTGTGTGGCCCGTGCTAGATGTGTTGTTGTGTGTCGTTGAGATGTCGTGGGTCGTGTTTTGCGCGTGTTTGTGGTTGTTGATTATGGTGTGGTGTGTGTGTGTGGTGTGGTGTGTGTGTGGTGTGTGTGTGTCTCACATGTGCGTGAGACTGAGGCATGTCTTCGTGCTACTGACTAATATAACATGCACACGGGAAGATAAAATATTTCGACTATGTACTCACATGAATTCATCATATACCTCCTTCTCTACACACATCATAATACAAAGAATGTTATTAAAGTGGTATGTGTATTGTAGTTAGATAGTATGTTGGTTAACTATATAAATATAAGCGACGCTACTGACAGCCTACGGTGTTGATGTGTTGTGTAGTAGTAATTATATATATATATATATATTAACTATATATAATATACTATTAATATAAATATA